GTTATTAATTTCTTGATGCCCTAATATAAACAACCAATGTTGATTCCCATGAAAAAAGATTCCATTTTTGAAAACTAGCAACAAACAGCCCTCACCAGCCACAGAAAATGTTCGTCAGAGGAAGAATTAAAATCAGTCAAAGTAAAAGACTCAATAGGAGAAAAAGCACTAATAATCACCTTTTGCAACCTAAGCCTCTGGTAAGAAAACTCTACTAGAATATAAGTACAGAGCCTTCCTGGAAAAAGAAAACAGCATGAGACACATATTGAATCAAATAACAAAATGTAATACAGAAAATTTGTAAAAAAGAGGTTAAGGGTTCAAAAAGAAGAAACCAGGCAACTTAGGACCAAACTTAAACCAATCATGGACAATGTCTATCTATATACTTGTGGAAGACATAATAAAAAAAATCTTGAAAGAAGAACCTGAAAAATTGGGCCAACAAGAGGCATATGATTTCTGTGGCAAATGAAAATGGCTGAGAGTGCAGCTCTGTCACCTGAAATAAAACAGACAAGCCCTGATCATGACAGACATACAGAAAAAATGATGCAAACCATTAAGGAGTTGTAGAAAGACAAGAAACCAAATTCCACAAGCACCAACTCTGAAAGACAGACCAATGAGATTGGTATACTGCCAGGGAGGAATATCTGCAAGAATATTACAAAGCCAGCTTCACTAACAAAGAACAGCATAACATCCACATCCATTGTGGAAGATTTATCAAAACACTATGTATCGGAATCCCTCTGAGACAGGCAAGAGTAGTAGAAACTATAGTAGTGCAAATCAGTATCAGGCAATAAGAAGAGAAGCTAGACCTAAAACTGGAAACTAGTAAAGCATCAAAAGGTGATGCACTGCCATCACAAATTAATCAAGCATGGGACAATCAAACCACTGGCACATCCAATGAAATACCAGCTCAGAGAAAGACATGATGTGAATGTAGCCATAAAAGTAGAGAAACTGCAGCAAACAAAGGTTGTGGGATTTATATTGCCTGTTGATATATGTCATGAAAATCAAAGTGTCTATGAGTACTAGAACACAAAAGTTGTGTAACAAGAGCAAGAATTCGACATTCGTGTGGAAGAGCCCAAATCTCTAGCATAATAATGTGAGAATGGGATATCTGAGAAAACTACAGGCCCTAAATATAACAGTCCCACAACATATCACTCTACACTTGGAGAGGTATTGGTAAAAAGATCCTGATCCAGAGGAGATGGAAAAAAGAGGAAATCTACCACAGAAAACTCACAAATGAGCCACACCTGAAACAATCAATAGTAATTGTAGAATAGACTCCATGAAGGAGCAAGATCCTACTGACAGTATCTGAAGTAAGCACAATCAACGGGAATTGCCAAGTAAAGAGAAGCCACTGTTCTCCAAACAAAGAGGATATGTCTAGCAGATGGAAAAGTATGTGCAACAAAAACTCAAGGAGACTGCAAAACCAAAGGAGACAAGTGAACAGTTCCTGGAAGTATATTAATATGAGTGATCCCAGAAAAGAAGCTATCTGGGAGGTCAATTCAGTGTGAGGTAACCATTGAGCAAGAATCCCTTAATCATTGATGTAATGATGACAGTATGTGTGTGTGTGTGTGTGTGTGAATGAAGACCCAGAGTGCCAAAAACAGACCAAAAAAAAAAGAGGGGCAATAAACTAAAAATCACTCCACCATGTGAAAAAGAAAGATGGATGCATCATGGCATGTATATAAACATCTTTGAAATCCCTAATCTTCATCCAAAAACACTTGCATCAGATTCTCAAAGGTTTCATCTAGAAAGGAGAAATACTTAGATAACAAATGAGATGAGAAAGATGAAAGACCAGTCTTCTGTTTCTTTGGCACCACAAAACAATGAAAGTAAACCCCTGAAGAAACATGAAGTATAACATCAGTATTCCTTTGTCGTGGAAAAGGTTTGAAGCTGTCAGATCCAAAATCAAACAGAAACTGGGAGAGTCAAATTTGGAGGATGAAAAGAAGAAAGAAATAAAGAATCTGATGAACCCAAGAAACATGAAACAAACTTTATGGATAAATATATATATATATCTTGGCACAAAAGCCCAGATGAAAAAATCATCTAGAAGAGTCAATGAGTGAGTCATAAATACCCACCATGTTTACATCAACACTATGTCACACAAAAAATCATATGTAAGATGTATCAAGCATCAAAAAATATTGTACTGGACTCTAGAAGAGAATGGTAACCAGAAATTAAAATATAAGTACCTTGCAACATAGCCCGTTGGGCAAAGACATCAAAAGAACATGAGCAGCATGGTAATAGAAACAAAACCTGTAGGTACAGAGGACATCAAAGTAGACCTGTCATCCTAATTAAAATAAACAAGAGAACAATAATAATTAACAACAGTCCAAAAACGAATATCTCAAAACAAGTCAACTCATAGATCACAGGGCAGAAAACGTATGATGGATCACAGAAATAAAAAAAAAAGAAGACCTCTCATCCCCCAAGGACAAAACTAAGGATCACAACTTGAGAAGGAAAAGCAGAAGGGCAACATGACACAAGCACCCTCAGGTGTAATGCTAGTAGGTTCAATACCAAAAATATATAAAGTACCTGAAAGAAGTTCAGTTGAATGGATGGCAACTGCCTGTTGAAGAAACACAAGTGTAGAGGATGACATTTCAAAAGTCTTCCATCTTTTATTGGTTTATTACAACATATCATAAAACACCCTCCACAATCCATCAAAATACTAAAAAGACCGATAACACCATATACACACTGACCTGATGACGAAAAAAAGAAGACCTTCGAAACGTCGTCTTCTATTCTTATGTTTCTACAACAGGGAGTTGCTGTCCATTCAACTAAATTTCATCATGACTACTCTGCCTAAATAATCTATCAAACAATAACTGAGAGAAAATGAAATGAGACCAGCAGAAATGTAATCAGGACTAGGGCAAGCACTGCAGCAGAAAACTCCAGCTCTGCAAACGCTGAAGGTGAATACGCCTGATTAAAAAACTTACCTTCATCAAAAATAAAAGAAAATGGCATTCTTTTATGTAAATTAAGGGTCCACACAATTGTTATACCCACCAAAAATATCAGTATACAAAGGCACAAATATGTTAAACAATCAGAACTGACATAGCATCTACAATTTGCTACAGACAGACTGCATAAGTAAGGCCCCAAGGAAATTCCAATAGTGAAAGAAATAGCTACATGAAAAAATCATCATAGCAAATGTCATGATATAAAAGACAGTTTGGTTTAAATATTAGTGATTAATTTATATTTGTGAATGAATATTTTATAATTTTTAAGTTTTGTTATAATAAGAGTTAAAAACAGATGATTGTAGAAGGTTTTGTTAATAACTAATTGGTGTCGAGAATGTAGAAAGTGGCCAGACAACTATGTAATAAAGATATAAGTAGCGTGAGATGAGCGGGAAGAAGCAGACAGAAAACAACAGACAGATAATAGCAAAAGAGAATATAGCTGTGTGAAGTTCAGTACCATAGATGTGATAGGCCTAACATTTAATATGTTAGAGTGAAACTAACAGTATAAAAAGAAAGATAAGAAGGATAATTTTATTCCGTCAAACATGGATCTAAAGTAATTGAATCAGGTTGGGTACAATTTGACAAAAAGAACAGAGGACCTTCAGAAGAAAGAAGACCAAACAAATTATGGTAACTTGTGCTACAACTGCAAGTGAATCACACACAGAATACTAGTATGATAGTAATATAGAGAAGATAGTTCGACTTGTCAACTGAAATTCTAAAGTAATTGAATAAGCCTAAGTGGACTTTTGACAAGAAGAATATAACTACATATAAGTAGTGTTTATGATATTGTAATCTCTATAGTGTGAAGCTTTTGTTGTACATACATTTAACTTATTCCAAATATATATATTATTTGAAAACAAGTAAAGTATGTGCTGTTTATTCATTGTTGAATTTATCACTAACAAGTCACAGACACCTTCTGTAGAAGAATCCTAAGCCCAACAATAATGTAGTATATATTTATACTATTAAGAAATATAAGCAAAAACCATTTATTTCAACTATTGGCAAAAAAGAAGAACCCATATACATATATATAATGTTTTGTTTTTTTAAATCTGACAACTAAGTTAACAGCTATACTGTTAACAAGAAAATCTAATTCATGATGGAAAAGCATTGTTAATGTAAGATCCTTTGATGTTCATGCAATAAGTCAGGTGGAAGATGGAAGTGTGGACAAGTATATATGACCTTTGTTTTGCAATGCATAAAAGACATTCAGAAAATTTTAATCTAGTGTTTTATTGACAGCATGAGTTCAAACTCAAGAAGGAAAGGCTTTCAGTATTTCAGAGATAAGTCTATCTGATTTGAGCTTAACATTAAGCTTTAAAAAGTTTATATCCTTCAAATGGAAAATTACAGAATAATGTTATAAAATATGGGATGAAAGACTGAGTATATAGACATTTTATTCATTAAGTGACCTTCAGAAGATAACGTTGTCATGATGTATTATATCACCTACCAGAAGATAAAGTTGTCATGATGGATTATGTCACCTACCAGAAGATAAGGTTGTCATGATGATGTTATGTCACCTACTAGAAGATAAGGTTGTCTTGATGAGTTATGTCACCTACCAGAAGATAAGGTTGTCATGATGAGTTATGTCACCTACCAGAAGATAAGGTTGTCATGATGGGTTATGTCACCTACCAGAAGATAAGGTTGTCATGATGGGTTATGTCACCTACTAGAAGATAAGGTTGTCTTGATGAGTTATGTCACCTACCAGAAGATAAGGTTGTCATGATGGGTTATGTCACCTACTAGAAGATAAAGTTGTCATGATTAGTTATATCATCTACCAGAAGATAAGGTTGTCATGATGGGTTATGTCACCTACCAGAAGATAAAGTTGTCATGATTAGTTATATCATCTACCAGAAGATAAGGTTGTCATGATGGGTTATGTCACCTACCAGAAGATAAGGTTGTCATGATGAGTTATGTCACCTACCAGAAGATAAGGTTGTCATGATGGGTTATGTCACCTACCAGAAGATAAGGTTGTCATGATGGGTTATGTCACCTACCAGAAGGTAAAATTGTCATGATGGGTTATATCACAACCTGAAGGTCTTCATTAAAATGAAATATCAAAACTAAACTTCTTTCTGATTCTAATAAACCTGAACAAGTGACAACAATATTTGAATAAACACATTACCAGCAGCATTATACATTTTGTATGTTTCATTTGATAAAGCTGATATCAGACTTGGTGAGTGCTTCAACTCAATAGCTCGAGCAATAGTCACTATAAGAAGTAAATCATATCACATTAACCAAATAACTGTCTTTTTATTTAGTTAAATACAATTCATAGCACTGTTATTTACTATTAAAAAATGAAACAAAATATTTCTAATCATTTGCATATTTCTGTCTGAACTTCTGATATGAATCATACAATTTCATGCACAGAACTTCTATCATTTGGAAACAAGTAATATAAATGTATTAAAAAAGTCTTTTGTGTTGTTTCAATGTTTAAAATAGTAATATAGACAAAACTGATATACATACTTGACTTCCATAAACAATGGAAGCCTTGCTTTTATACTTGTAATTAGTTTACCAAAACATTATTCTAACATTGTTACTGTTGTTTGATGTGACGTTTCTCTGTCTTCCAGAGTAAAATTACACAGTAAAGAAGTATACAAATTTAGTAAATGTACTACTCTAAAACTGATACTGAAATAAATATAGCATGTTTTTCATAAAACTCACCTTCTTGAGCCTCTGCTGTACACTGGTTTATATAGCATGTTATAACATGCGAGTCTAGGTCAGAACCTGGTTCTGGCTTCTCTAACAGTTGTGTCACATACTGTTCCTATACAAGTTACAGTTTAGGTTAACTTATTTTACACATACTTGAAACATATCTTTCACATATAAAGAATATCAAGCTATTTAATTCTTGAGTTCTCACGTGTGAAATTACAAAACTAAAAAAAAACTAAAATGTACCTTTAATCTGGCTTTTTTTTATTAACTATATTGTTAAGTAAACATTTTCAAATATCAAAATGATATTACTGATCTAAATTTTTTGTATTTACATAATGTATAAACATTTCTTGGACTCATTACTAAACACCAAAACTACTTTTTAAACCAATTATTCTTAAAACTTGCTATCCACAACATTACAGTGAAAGGTATTCAAAGAAGTTGTAAAAACTTAGAACTATAGAAGCAAATGAAGATGTGGCTAATGAGAAAGTGGAAAGTCCAAGAGCACTTCCATTTGATACCTTTTTTTTCAAAAACAATTAGTATTTGGAAGAATGAATAACTACTGTGATGAAAAATGATGTACTGGCTTATGCTGAATAACTATATACATGCATTTAAGTAAAGCTACTTAAAAATTGAATTCAAGAGTGAATTCAGATCAAAGTAATTTTAATATTAGTGGTTACAAATAATACTGTCAAACTCTAAATATTTTGTTATCATTATCAAACAAGTTCTTCATAAATTATAATAATCATCAGTAGAAACAAGTTTCAAAATTACACACAAAAACAAAAATGTCAAATACACAACTTTCAATGAAATACATACACTAAGTCTGTTTATTACTTAAAGTTTTTCTAATTCTGTAATATACCATTTTTAACAAGCTATGTAAGAAGTGCTGTACATCAAAATGAATCTTAAACAAAAAATACAAGAATCAAGACAAAGCAAAACCACCTCTGACTAACAAAAAACATAATCATGAAGCCAAGAACTAGATAATAGAGAGCTAAAAGTAAACATTTTCCTTATCTGAAATAGTATTTCTGGTAGATAATCACCTCTGCACACAGAATAGCTTGATCCCTCATGCATCTGTCTATGATATTTGTATGCCTTGAGCTAACTCCCATTTAAAAATCATGTGTTTAACATGAACTGCATTAATGCATGATGACATTTTCATGCAATGATAGCTCTCAATCAATAGGACAATGACACAACCTCCTTGCACAGTAACTCCCATTAAGCATTTGCTCTCAAAATAATGTCATTCTTAGACGAGGCAAGAAGGAAGTGCATGAGAAGTGGGGAAGATGAGTGGAAAGGTGTGAAGAGGAGAATATCTATTGGAAATTCATTTCCAGTTGAGAAAAATGTTAACTACAGAGACAATCCCCACCTTCACACACACACAGAATAGCTAGTATCCAACAATGAAATGGTGGAGGTGCCAGTGCAAACATTAAACACAGATGAGCTTCCTTCAGAAAGAGCCCAAAAAAAACCATGAAGTGTGACACCTGATGGCAAAAGCTCCATTGGAATACACCCATGGGAAACCACATCTCATTTCGACCAAGGTATACTTTTTGCTCAAAAGGAAACAAAGAGAAAGGCAAAAAGCCCCAAGTATTGCAGAGATGGGTGGAATTAGATCATGATCCATCACACAAGTGTTTGGTGAGCCAAGAAGTGTAATGTGATTACGGTGCAATCAGACTGTATGGTATGTGTCTCACCTCGACTCAACTGGACAGACAAATTCTCACTTCAGGAAGAGGAAACACTAGCTATTTGAGGGTTGACCTGCACTACACAGACAGTACCATCACAACCCTACTTCCCACCAGTGTTGTGCACAATCAGTGAGAAACTTTCCAAGGTCCACCACCTCAATGGCTAGGAATTGGTAAGTGACAAGGGTCTCTTGTGCTCCACTAGAAGAAATGGGTGGAGACCCAGAGAAATGTCCAGATCCCCACTGGACACCTGCCAGAAAGATCTTTTACTAGAGATAGTGCAATGGGTGACCACCAGCAAACATGAGCCAAATAAATGGTGCCAGCTTTTTCCATGATAGTCTAAAGAATAGTACAGTCTAGATCAAGCAATTGAAGAATTTTAATACCACAAGGATACCTCCTGCCTCAATGGTGGGCACTGGTAGAGAAAAGGTGGATGGGTTGAAAGCTTTCCATTACCCCTGCAGATAATGAGAAATAAGCATACCTGGAAAGGTAGCACCGACCACCTGGCAGGATCCTATAAAAGGGAAGAGTGACAAAAAAGAAAAAGTACTTACCCTTCTCAAAGATGATATGTAGTTTTATTGAAGAACAGTGACTGGAGAAAGTCGAAATCCTACAGGAGACAAAACAGCCAAATGATGAAGATAATGGGAGATGAACATGGGCAGAATCATCCACATGCCAACCTGAAGGATGTTGTCCAGGAGGTTGGTGAAAATAAGACATAAGAGAGTGAGACAGCTGACAAATCTGATACAACAAAATGTGAAAGAATGATCACCTTCCTGAGCAGCTGAAGTCCTAGGAAGAAAGGCTCAGACTGGATAAAGGAGGAAGTAAGTATGGGGAAAGAGAGTATCAATGGCATATACCTCTGAACAATGGCAACCAAAGGTGAGGAGAAGAAAATATGTCTTCAGAGAAAGAAGGTATAATGAAAATGAAGCCAACAGTTCAGATGGAGCATGTAAAATCCAATCAATGTCCCAGTTAAGAATGGGAGTAGGGCTATGAGGTCGGTAAAGAAAGAAGGATCAGAACAAAGTGGAGAGGATAGGAGAAGAAAACCTTACGATAACAGGAAAGGCAAAATATAGCTTATAAAACCACCTGAAAACCAGCAATAGTGGAAATTGGCAATACATGGACAAAAAATCATGTGAAAAACACCAATAAGTATGCCACAGTAGGATGGCCAGGCAGAATGGAGAGGCTGATGGACCAATGTCAAAGCACCTGACATTTCTGTTGAATAGATGAATAGAGTTGAAGGATGACAGGAATGAGATAAGAAAAAGGCAACGTGATTGCAGTCCAGCCCTGCAGGCAACAAACTAGACAAAAACCACATGTAAAGATGAAGGGATGACACCCCTGGGTGAAAGAGGGACATGACTAGAGCAAAAGGGAGTGGGACTCGAGCAGAAGAAGAGGGGCCCATACATCAATTGACAAAGCAGAGGAAATCAGGGTTGTGCCAGCCAAAGAGGCAACACCAACAGGACCCTACATGGAGTGTTACATATCAAAGCAAGGACATGAGGGAGAAGAAGAATAGGAGGATACGCATAAAGAAAAAGATGAGAACAGTCCTGGGAGAGAGCACTGACAGTCAGGGCCAAAAGAAGATGAAGTGAGGACCTGAAAAGGAGAAGTCTAGTGTTAAGAATGGTGAAGGTATTAATGAGAGGCATGCCCATCTGAGCACACCCAATGAAAAACCTGAGAGTGGAGAGACCACTACGTGGTTGGAACCCTGTCTGGCCAAGAGAGGTATTTTTTATTCTGCCACTACGTTCAGAGCCCCTGGCACATGACAAGCCACGAGATAAACCTAATAGGAATAAGCACAAAATAATAAGTCCAACATGTGAAAGAAGTCCCGGAATGGGTACCCCCCAATGGTTGATATAAGAAATGATAGTGGAATTTTCAGAGTGGATCATGATAAACCAATCCATGAGAAAAGGGAGAAAATGCCCAACATGCCCAAAGTCATGTAGTCATTCAGAGATGCCCTGGAATGGTTACCCCCAATGGTTGATATAAGAAATGACAGTGGAATTGTCAGAGTGGATCGTGATGAACCAATTCATGAGAAAAGGGAGAGAATGCCCAACATGCTCAAAGTCATGTAGTCATTCAGAGATGCCCCCCCACTAACATGCAAGGGGTGTGTGGCAAGGGAATGCCATGGTCAAGCAACCAAGACAAGTCCTTAAGAAAAGCAGAAGATAGGCACACACTCAAGGACAACAAATCTCAAGAAATGTTCAACTGGTCCCATAATTTCACAAAAAAGAGGTGATTGTGTGTGTGTTGCTTTAATAAATGAGAGGTTCAATGGGAAGCCAGTGTTCCCAAAAGCAAAAGAACCTTGTGTGCCCAATGGAAAAAAGAAGCACAAATCTTGGTGAGAACACATTCCATTGTTCATAAGAGATGTGGTGAAGCTGAGTCTGACTGAGATGAGAGTTGAAAAACATGCCCAGATGCACCAAGTACAGGCCAACCATAAGAAAGGACTTGGAAGTCTTGACAAGCTAGTCCAGCCAAGCAGTCTGATGCAGAAGATTAGAGATGTGAGAGAAGACATCCTCTCAAAAAGTTGTTGAGGAGAAGCCAGTCATCCATGTAATAATGGAACCTCAGCCTCAATCTGTGAACAAGACAGGCAAATGCATCCATGATTCAAATAAAAATATACAAATCCAAAGCAATGCCAAAAGGAAGAGCATTGAACTGGAAAACATAATCCCAATGGACAGAAGAAAGAAAATGCTTGGAGGACGGGGAGATTGGTATATGTAAAAAAGTTGTCTGAAATGTCCACCTTGATCCTCCAAAGTTCAAGTAAAAAAAACCATTGGACAATAAGAAACCAGTTGAGAGATGATATGTCAATAACTATATGCCAGACTAGTCTTCTTAGGGATCATAAAAGAATGAGAGTAATAACCAGGTTTAGGGTTAAATACCTTCTTGATGGTGTTCTTGGCCAAGAGATCCAAAACTGCATCCTCTAGACACTGAAGATAAAGGGGAACAGAGGGAGGAAAAAAGGAAGTGGAGAAATAGACTGTGGGTAAGAACTTGAAGAACCCTACTGTTGGAAGAAAATGGAGATGAAAGGCTGGCAAAGAGAGACAGATGGGGCTCACAGGGCCACACTCAACAGAGTAGGCACCTATGACCCTTACATTATGAAGTGGGAGAACGGGAAGTAGAAGAAGGCCAAGAAGCTGGAACAGGAAGAGAAGATGTGGATTCAACAGGACTAGGAACAGGAACAGAATGGTAAGGTTAAGAAAGATGAGAAACCATAATAAGCAATGAAGACTGATGTACCCAAGGTCTATAGTGATTCAGAAACATGTAATTAGCCAGTTTTTTATAGAAAAGCATATAGATTGAAGTCGTCAGATAGTTCTTTTATACAAAATCACATAGATAGTTAAGTGGATAACTTGTTGTTTCAAAGCATATAAATAAATATGTGGTTAGATGGTTCTCTTATACAAAATCGGCAAGACATTAGTCAGTTATTTATTCAGTAGAAAATTGTATAAATGGATGATAAATGAACAATTTATTTTGTAGACAATTATGCTTATAGAAGCATCACATAGAAAAGTGACTGGTTGTATAGCCATTTTTTACAAAACAAATGGAGCTTAACAATGATCTCAGAGATGAGTGTAAGGGAGATGTACATCAGCCAGGAGAGCATCCCATCCTAACAGCAGAGGAACAAAGTAAGGAGAAATAGAGCAGAAGAAGTAGTATGGGCCAATGTGGTGAAAAGAAGAGAACAAACCTCTCCATAAAACCCCTCCTGAGCACGATGAAGTTCCTCAGACACAAGGAGAAGTGACGAAAGGTAATACAGGAGGATGATAAGAAAGAGATGGAGAAGCAAAAATTGAGCATTAGAAAGGGAAATAAAAATAAAAAAGTCCAACTCCCAAATAGATAAAAGAAACTCCAAAGACATGGAATCAAGTAACATAAATGAATAATAGCTGTTAACTGTGACAAAAGAGTAAACAGATAAGAAGGATGAGACATGTTAGTACAGGTGTGCAGGTGTTTGAGAAATGAGTCTGCAAGAACCCTAATGACAGGTGAAGGAAGGAAGGGAAACAGAATAGTCTTGAGTATGGGCTTCATGTATTAAAGCACAGGAGAAGTCAAAAGACAATAAAGAAAGAAAATAATATACCTGTGAAATCATATCAAAGCAGAGATTAAAAAGGTGGGGATTTTCTTATACAACTGAAGCTCTGACTAGAGCAAATACTGTTGGGGAAGATAGTCTGTCAAAATCATCATCATAATCATCCTGATCATGTTCAAATTGGGCAGAAGGAACAAATTCAGAATGGATGGGAGAAAAAGACCAGTATGCATGAAGAAACCCACAATATGTTGAACAAAGGCTGTCAGATTCTCCATAAACAACACGACCCCTGTAGCCACAACACACAGGTCCTATGTCAGTGGAGAATTCATAATGGGTAAGCAGGAAAGAAAATTTTGTTTTTTAGTAAAAAAAAAAAAAAACAACAAAACTTAAACAAAATTTAAGTTTCGTAATTTAATTCTCATGTAATTGATTAATAATGTCAAAAACACATCCATTATGGACAATGCCAAGGAAAAGAATGAAGTTATTTTGAAAGAAAGTGCTCAAGGGGAGTTACTGCACAAGGAGGTTGTGTCACCCTCCTATTGGTGGAGGGCTATTGTAAGAAATGATGTCATCATGCACTAGCACAGTTCATATTAAACACTTGATTTTGAGGTAGGAGTTAGCTTAAACCTAGTGGCATGCAAATCTAATAGGCAAATGCAAAAGGGATCAAGTTATTCTGTGTGAAGAGGTGAGGTATTGTCTTGGAAATAATACACACACACACACCATTGACCTAAGAACAAACAACAGTCACAAAGCCAAAAATAAATACAATCACTGAGCTAATAAACACTACTATACAATAAAGCATATGCTCTTCTTTAATTTACTTACCACCCCCTCCAACAAGTAGGAAATTTAGAGTAAATTACTCATTATGATATTGTCATCACGCACAAGTAAAGTGAAATTTTTATAGTCTTCAATCTTATTTGGTTACCATCAAATAGGAAATCAGAACCCTCTTGCCATGCCAACCTGTCACATTCTCTCTTTCAGAAATTGCCAATAGTTCTCTCTGATGTTTAATACTATATTATTTATAACCAATAGAGAGCCAAGCTTTTAATCTATCAAATGACATATTATGTTGTTTTCTGTAAAGAAATTATTGATTTTGCTTCCAGTTCAAATTTTATTCCCATGGATAACACATCAAAAAGCTTATCTGAATTTTTAACAGCTCTTGTCGCACAGTTAGAAAGCCAGACAAATTTTGATATTTATGGGACTTATTCTGCTTTTTCATATTATTATTCTGTGGTCTTTGGAGCAATATTTAATTAAATAAAAATTAATTTATTGTAATATTACCATTAGCATAAAAAAAATAGGGTTAAGTGTCAATGACAGTCAACAGAAAAAAAAAAGCTCAGGCGAGTACTTTAGGTCTCGTTTTTCATGTGCATGTTTTATTTATTATTATAAAACTAACCAAAATCTAACATTTAGAAACTTTTTAGGTTAGACAGATAAAATAAAGAATAATAATAATAATTTTTCACAAAGTATGCTCACAAGTTGCTGACAAGTAGTCTGTGCGTTATGTAATATGATACTGTAACATAGTGGTCCCTGGGCAACTGCGAGTCCACAAAGGTAATATCATCTCATTAAATAAGTAAGTTTTTTAATGCTGCTGTTTTTTAATTGTACACTCAATTATATATGTCTTTCATTTGATAGTGAAAAATGGGAAAATTAGTTAGTTATTAGTTAATAAAAACAGTTTATTGGTAAGATGAAATCTTTCAAAAACATGGCATCCATGGGGAAAAAATAATAATAAAAGGGGTCTTTGGTGGTAAAAAGGTTGGGAACCACTGCTGTAATGTGAGCTGCACATTTTCCACGTGATTTATAACTTATATGGCACAAATAGCAGTTAGACACAGTCCAAAGGACAATAAAACAATAATATTTAAGTATAAATAGATGTATACTGTTATGAGTTTAAAGCTATTTATGATAAACAAATATTGTTTCAGGTAACAATCTGAAGTCATTCTAGAAAGAAAAAAAAGGATAATTTAGATTTATTTTGATTTTTTTGTTTTTGGTGATTAAAAGGTCAGTCAAACTGACTAACCTTCTATAGAGACAGGGTAGAGAAAATAACAGATAAAATATAGTTTTACTAAAAAATAAACGTTTGAAGTTTATATAGGAGGTTTTATAGATTAGGCAAAGGAAATTTAAGCTTTTTGAGACAAAGTATTTTTAATCTTAACATGAAAATCACTTTGTACTCAGACTAGTCAAAAAGAGACTCAATATAAATCTCTAGTAAAAATACTTTATTAAAAAATGGATGTTTTGTGTACAAAAGAATTGTAATGGTTACGAACTCGGTCAATTCGATTGACCTTGTAGAAAGAGAGTTAAGACACCAGTATCTTGCTTTAAGTATGCACACTCATTTGGAGAAATAATTTTTCATCTGCATTACAATCCATCCAAAATACAAAATCTATTAGTGATAAGTAAACCCTGTGATACATTATGATGATGAGTACATTACTATCATTCATTTTGAGAATGCATGTAGACATTGATTTAATACACATATAATATACAGTATGAAAGAAACTGATAAAAATTCAGTATATTTCTATCTTTTGGGAATCAGAAATCAGAAGCTTACCTGTATCGAGTGAAAAATTCCTGCTGCCTTACGAAGACACTTGTGAATTTCTTTAGCTTCTTCCATTGCAACTCTGAGATAAGAAACCAACATATTTAAATATCTTAGATAACACTACACTTAACACATGTACATAAAAATATTGACAAGAAACAACAGGAAAATAATAAGAAATTCACCATGTAGAACAGATTAGTGTAGAAAATAAAAACATTTCACAATACCAAATGGTATTACAATTCATTAAAATCACCTGTTACAGCACAAAGGGTAAAAGGCACCACTGGTTTCAAATGTTTGTAAAAATATCCATATTTTCAGAATAACACACTTTAACTGTAGCTTTCTTGTACTTTAAGTATAAATTTGGTCTGGTAATTATTGTACAAAATTACATAATATTATCCTCTTTGGATCCTTATGTGAATAGTTCATCTTGGTAGTATTTAGTTAGTACAATATCTTATTACGCTAAGATATACTCTTCATTCTGAATGTTTATCATTATTTTTTGTAGATAGAATGGCTATGAAACTACATACTCATGTTTTATTTTTATTTTTTTCTGTTCTGGGAACTGCAGTTAATATAACTATTAAGTTGTTAACAAAAACATTATTATCAAGCATTATTCCACATAAAAGAAGGAAGTTTTTATATGTAGTTATACTATACTGCAATTGTTTACTTGAATTCAGACATATTTGAACCCTCTGCTTATGAATTTTGAGTGCTAAGTTGATCTCAATTTAATCATCTTAAAAAAAAAAAATTAATGTGTAACACTTTCAAATCAATGTGGCCAGACTATTAGGTTGTCAAAAAATTAATGTCACATTTTGGAACACTTTCATTAACTACCCCCCAAAAAACATACATTACGTATAATAGTTAAACAAACAGACTAAACATCACGTTAGTGTAGCCTATATAATGTGTAAAGTTTAATATACTCTAATCCCTTATAGTGATGGCACACGATGAGACACACATTTGGCATGTAATGCTGTTT